GCCACCTGTCTCGTAAACTGCTGGGTTTCTTTCACGCTTTTCGAACGGTCAACTGTGCTATTCGTAAGTACAGGCCGCCCGCGCGGATCAGGTCAAGATCCTCAACCCCTGAATCCCGTCGTCGCCCCTTCCCCCCCTCCCCTTCCCCTTCCCCTTCCAACGTAACAAGGAAAGGAGGTCAGTCAGGTCCAGTCAGCCAGCACTCTCACTCGCCCAACCTCTCAGAGCCAATTCTGAATCCCTTCACTGGCCTTCCTTTGCTTTTTGCTGCTCTCCTCCAATTACCCCCCTCTCTCGTTCTCTATCTCTCTGTCGCCTCCGACAGACTGCCCAGTGCTTTCTGCTGCCGTGGCCTGTGTAACCCGTACATTGCCGTGCTTTTATCGATAGCCAAGCAGAAAACAGGCCGGCACCAGTCTGTCTCACCACACACGTCCCCCCCAGTCCGTCCACCAACTCAGCCCAAGACCCAAGGAGAGGGGGCGTCTTTTGCGGGGTTCTTGCACCGAACGAGCGAACGAGCGTCTCCATACGCAACCTCGAACCTCCACCAACAAATCAAGACCCTAGCAACTCCTTCTCTTGCATTATCTACCTCACCTCACCTCACCTCATCTGTCCTATCCTACGCCAAACCCATCATTCATCCGTTTCGCCTGGAGAGAGAGGGAACAAAAAAAAAAAACGAAAGGGAAAAAATATCGCCATCCACCCGCCCTCCTTGATCCTCTCGACTCCCCGACCATCGCCGATTCGCTCGCCGCGCATTCGGCCATCCCTCCTCCAAAATGTCGTGGAAGCTCACGAAGAAGCTCAAGGAGACCCATCTGGGCCCTTTGGCCAACACCTTCTCCCGCTCCCCTTCCACATCTACCATCACCGACAACAGCGAAAAGGCCCAGCCTGGCGCCGCCGCTCCCCCCTCGAATGAAGGAACCATCGGTACGCCCACTCGTCCATTGTGACAAGCCCCTTTCAGCGTCGCCCAAAGGCGCAGTCCGCTCCATACTGACCGCTGCAGCTGCCTCCGAGGCAATGGCGCAAGCACCCGTCGTCAACCCTCCGAAGCCCGGTATTCTCGTCGTCACCCTGCACGAGGGCCAGGGTTTCTCTCTCCCCGAACAACACAGACAAGCCTTCGCTTCTTCACACCAAGGCTCCGTATCCTCCGGCGGTGCCCTCAGCGTCGCTGGCTCCGTCCGCCCGTCTTCCTCCCAGCGAGTCGCCGGCTCCTTCATCAACGGCTCCGGCCGCCCACAAACATCTGGCGGTGGCTTTAACGGCATTCCCACCAACCATGGCAGAATTTCCGGCAAGTACATGCCTTATGCCCTGCTGGATTTCGATAAAATGCAGGTCTTCGTCAACTCTGTCGAGGGCACGCCGGAGAGCCCCCTGTGGGCTGGAGGAAACACCCAGTACAAATTCGATGTGTCCCGTGTGACCGAGCTCGTCATTCATCTGTACATGCGCAACCCGATGGCTCCCCCCGGAGCCGGTCGTAGTCAGGACATCTTCCTCGGTGTCGTTCGCATCAACCCCCGCTTCGAGGAGAAGCACACCTTTGCCGAGGACCCCAAGGCGAGCAAGAAGGACCGCGAGAAGGCCGCCGCCGACTTTGCCACCCGCGAGCGTGCTCTTGGCCACACCGGCGTTGAGTGGGTAGATGTGCAATACGGCACCGGAAAGCTCAAGATTGGTGTCGAGTACGTGGAGAACCGCGCAGGCAAGCTCAAGATTGAGGACTTTGAGCTGCTCAAGGTGGTAGGCAAGGGCAGTTTCGGCAAGGTCATGCAAGTGCGCAAGAAGGACACAAACCGTATCTACGCCCTCAAGACGATCCGTAAGGCACACATCATCTCGCGTTCTGAAGTCGCCCACACCCTGGCCGAGCGATCAGTGCTGGCGCAGATTAACAACCCCTTCATCGTTCCCCTCAAGTTCACCTTCCAGTCTCCCGAGAAGCTCTACTTCGTCTTGGCCTTTGTCAACGGAGGTGAGCTGTTCCACCACCTGCAAAAGGAGCAAAGGTTCGACGTCAACCGCTCGCGGTTCTACACGGCCGAGCTTCTGTGCGCTCTCGAGTGTCTCCACGGCTTCAACGTCATCTACCGTGATCTGAAGCCCGAGAACATTCTGCTCGACTACCAAGGCCACATCGCCCTGTGCGACTTCGGTCTCTGCAAGTTGGACATGAAGGACGAGGACCGCACCAACACCTTCTGTGGTACTCCCGAGTACCTGGCGCCCGAGCTGCTTATGGGACAGGGCTACAACAAGACGGTGGATTGGTGGACGCTCGGAGTCCTCTTGTACGAGATGCTTACGGGACTACCGCCCTTCTACGACGAGAACACGAACGAGATGTACCGCAAGATTCTCTCGGAACCCCTCCACTTCCCCGGCCACGACGTGGTACCGCCGGCCGCCAAGGACCTTCTGACCAAGCTGCTCAACCGTGACCCTAAGGAGCGTCTCGGTGCCAACGGCTCGGCCGAGATCAAGGCGCACCCCTTCTTCCACGCCATCGACTGGCGAAAGCTTCTGCAGCGCAAGTATGAGCCGGCGTTCAAGCCCAACGTGGTAAGTGGCCTCACCGTGACTGGCATCAGCAGTGGCAAGCATGACTAACGTGGACTGTTTTTTCCAGGTGGACGCCCTCGACACGGCCAACTTTGATCCCGAATTCACGTCAGAAGCGCCGCAGGACTCGTACGTTGAGGGACCGATGCTCTCGCAGACGATGCAGAACCAGTTCCAGGGCTTCAGCTACAACCGACCGATTGCAGGACTGGGCGATGCGGGTGGCAGTGTCAAGGACCCGTCATTTGTGGGCAGCATCCAGGACCGATAAGCGCCTTGTCTTCTTTTGGTTTTCGCAAGCAAGCAAGCAGGCAGGCAGGCAGGGAAGGAAAGAAAGGGTCGACTAGAAAGCATTGAAGTGGTGTGGACTTGGTGATTCAGTTTACGGGTTACCTCAGCTTACGGCAAAGCGATTCGACACGACGACTCGACTCGCGCGCGCAACAGCTTGCGTCTTCGTCTTTGTACGGCGTTCTGGAACGGGCATGATGAAGCCTAGGGGAAAACGGAATGTAGATAGGCACATATCATTGAGCAGACAGACACAAAATCGCTCAGCATCGTTCACGGCAGATGTGGTGTGTGATGTGGAGTGGCGGCGGTGGCGGCGGTGGTGGTGGTGCTTCAACCACGTATTGTGACTGACTATGATGTTGTTAAGCCGTGATGTTGAGGAGGTTCCTGTGGGAGGGAATACGGGTGTGTGGGATGGCATTGAGGCGGATTCGGGCCGGGACGTGTATCTGACGTCGGACGTCGGATCTGCCGGGGCGGGTTGAAGCGGGATTTAGTAAGCTCAGGTGTTCCACCGCGTCTTAACATTCGGTGTATGCCTCCATTTTGATCCGGTGTCGGATTCACGATGCTCGGCAAGTAATCCGCTCGGAGGGTTGATAGTGAGACCGAGAGAGTGCCTGTCTACTGGGTCTGTTTATGTATGCGAGAAGAAGGCCAAAGAAAGTTTGCGAATGAGGGATTTGAATTCCCTGATGGCCGGTAGAGCATTGTACCGACGACAGAAAGTCACGATGGCGGCGCGGAGAGAGGGGCGGTTTCTGAAAAATTCGAGATGTCCTCGCGATGCGTGGGCCGTGGGGGTCGGGGTTGGGGGGATGGATCATGGTCGGGAAAGCTTCATCAGCAATTCAGCACCGATCCGACGGGCAGGCCCGCTTCGTCGGATATAGCAGAGGCGGCTGGGGACGTCAATTGGTACGGCTGACGGAGGAGGGGACATGGCGATAGGCGATTAGCATTGAGTGAAGCAGGCGAGAAACAGAGTGCGTGTGACAAGCGCATCCATGCGAGACGGCGAAGACGGGGGGGTTGCAAAGTCACAAAGTGGCACCTTTACGGCGATTTGGGACTTTTTTGGAGTGGGCGGGAGAAATCACTACTGCCACGAGGACTGGAGACTGGAGGTGAGGACGACGGAGCGGGGCCGCGGAGGAGAGAAGGAGGCAGATGTCATCGTGACCGGCTTGGATTGTTGCGGTGATGCCAATTCAGTGAGGTGAATTGGTACACTCGGGTCGGTGCCATGGCGGGCCTTTCTGGTCGCGAGGTGCGAGGTTCGTTAGGTAAGCTTTTTCTTTTCCCTCTACTGCTCGGCGGAGCTGACCCGGCGACGGCGGGAGACGAGAATGACGGAGAAACAGGTTGAGAAAGCAGGAGCTCCATCGTCTCTCGTCGGATATGCTCCAGCTACCTACCTTAAGGTACCTAGCCAGCCATCCAGCGAGGCCCTTCTAAAGCTGGCCTGCTTCCCGCCCACCTTGCCATTCTTCAATTTCACGTTGCGTCTCTTTTCATCATTCAATTGGCATTATACCCCGTCGCCGTCAGCATCTTCTGCAGCGCCATTACTGAGCACCAACACCAAAAGCTGAGGTACCGACCTGAGTCCAAGCTTTGGGCGTCCGGTGCTACAGCGTCATTCCACGACCCCCCGGCTCCCAGGTCAGTGCTTCCCTTCAGCGTGCCGTGCCCCGCGTTCCAGCTCTGTTTTTCTACGCAATTACCCCTCCACGCCAGACATGCCACCACCCACGGGACCCTGTCATTGGCTGGAACCCTTCACCTTGCCGCAACCCATCCCACTTCCATTGTGCTAATGGAAGTGTGAGGTGCCTCCCACCTTGCCTTGGGACCTCAACCACTGCTCCCACACCTGATACCCACCATCACTCAATCAGTCCACGACACCACGCTGCATTGTTTTCTTTCCTCCTCCTTCTACATTGTTTCTGGGTCAACTGAACTGTCCCACCAATCCATCCTCTATCCTACCTTATACATATTATATCCCACCCGACCTCACCCTCACCTACGAGACGTCTAGCTAACGTCTCCTGCTCCCACCAAGACCACCACCCCACGATCCTCCTCCGTCCAACCATCGTCGACCTCTGCCCAAAATGCCTCAAGCTTCTAGCCTTCCCGCGTGGGCCGAGCTCCAGGCTCACCGCGACAACGTCGGCAAGAACTTCGTCCTGAAGGAGGCCTTCGCCAACGACACCGACCGCTTCGCCAAGTTCAGCCGTACCTTCAAGAACGACGCCTCCGGCACCGACATCCTCTTCGACTTCTCCAAGAACTTCCTGACCGATGAGACCCTCGACCTCCTCGTCAAGCTGGCCGAGCAGGCCGGCCTTGAGAAGAAGCGCGATGCCATGTTCGCCGGCGAGAAGATCAACTTCACCGAGAAGCGCGCCGTCTACCACGCAGCCCTCCGCAACGTCGGCGGCTGGGACATGAAGGTCGACGGTGTCGACGTCATGAACAACGACGGCGGTGTCAACTCCGTCCTCAACCACATGAAGGAGTTCTCCGAGCAGGTCCGCAGCGGCGAGTGGAAGGGCTTCACCGGCAAGAAGCTCACCACCATCATTAACGTCGGTATCGGAGGTTCCGACCTGTAAGTCCCCCTACCCCGACCCCGACCCCTACCCCTACCTCCCGGCTCCGGTCCTACCCCTCACCACCTCCGAGCCGCTCGCTAACTCCCCCGTCAAGCGGCCCCGTCATGGTCACCGAGGCTCTCAAGCACTACGGCGCCAGGGACATGACCCTCCACTTCGTCTCCAACATTGACGGCACCCACATGGCCGAGGCCCTCGCCAACTCGGATCCCGAGACCACGCTGTTCCTGATTGCCTCCAAGACCTTCACCACCGCCGAGACCACCACCAACGCCAACACCGCCAAGTCCTGGTTCCTCGAGAAGACCGACGGCAAGGGCGAGATCGCCAAGCACTTCGTTGCTCTGTCTACCAACGAGGAGGAGGTCACCAAGTTCGGCATCGACGCCAAGAACATGTTCGGCTTCGAGAGCTGGGTCGGCGGTCGCTACTCCGTGTGGAGCGCCATCGGCCTCAGCGTTGCCATCTACGTCGGCTACGACAACTTCCACAAGTTCCTGGCCGGTGCTCACGCCATGGACAAGCACTTCCGCGAGACCCCCCTGAAGGAGAACATTCCTGTCCTTGGTGGTCTTCTCAGCGTCTGGTACTCTGACTTCTTCCAGGCCCAGACTCACCTGGTTGCTCCGTAAGTGTAACCGCAAGACAAAAGGGAGGGGCGTTAAGCTAATTAAGTACCACAGCTTCGACCAGTACCTGCACCGCTTCCCCGCCTACCTGCAGCAGCTGTCCATGGAGTCCAACGGAAAGACCATCACCTCGGATGGCTCTCCCGCAAAGTACACCACCGGTAAGCAGGCCCGCTGATCCGCCGACCCCTGAAGAAGCTCGAAATAGACTGACAGCTCGGCCATCACAGGTCCTATCCTCTTCGGCGAGCCCTGCACGAACGCCCAGCACTCCTTCTTCCAGCTCGTCCACCAGGGCACCAAGCTGATCCCCGCCGACTTCATCCTGGCCGCCAAGAGCCACAACCCCATCGGCGACAACGTCCACCAGAAGATGCTGGCCTCCAACTACTTCGCCCAGGCTGAGGCCCTGATGGTCGGCAAGACCGCCGACCAGGTCCGCGCCGAGGGTGCCCCTGAGGAGCTTGTCCCCCACAAGATCTTCCTGGGCAACCGCCCTACCACCAGCATCCTTGTCGGTGGCCACATTGGCCCTGCCGAGCTGGGTGCCCTGATTGTCTACTACGAGCACCTCACCTTCACCGAAGCCGCTGTCTGGGACATCAACGCCTTCGACCAGTGGGGTGTCGAGTTGGGCAAGGTCCTGGCCAAGAAGATTCTCAAGTACGTCTTTTACAGAAGCTACCTCTCTTCTGGATCAAGTGCTAACTATTTCAAAGGGAGCTCGACGAGCCTGGCAACGGCGACGGCCACGACGCCTCCACTGGTGGCCTGATTGGCGCCTTCAAGAAGTACTCTAACCTGTAATGACTAATGCGCGGCGCTGTTACTTTTCCTTACCTAGTTAAAATTGGAAAGAGGGTGTGAAGAAAGATTCACATATCAATAAAAGCCAAATGAAGATCAGTTCCATGTCTGCTGTTGTTGGTGAATGTGCTTATATGGAGGGCTCTCTGGTGACAGGCTTTGTTAAGGAGCAGTATTCCAGTGTGATAAATCATCATGGACCATCCCATGTTATATTCACACATGTAAAATGCAGTCTGCTAATCAAGCTGCAGGTGGCACAGTTGACGCAAGAGTTGAGACTTCTAATGTGTTCTCGCCCAGTTACCAACCGGTATGGTGCTTGGCTGGTATCATAATACCAAAAGCGAAGAAGCCAGATGCCCAACCAAAAGCTGTTCATATTTTTGTGCTTCGGAGATTAACACCGGGGATTTGAAGCTCATGAGATACTTGTATCCAAAGGCAATCGAGAATAGGTTGGGTATCTATGCGGCCCTTTAGGGACACTCTTGCGTTGGCTTGGGAGCGATGCTAGCCTTATGTTTACCTTTTCCCCGGGACAATTGAATGAACCAAGGGGGCAAGAGGTGTGTTGAAAGGCATTCGACCCGTCTTCGGCATCTTGAACACTCCCAAATCCGACCGAAACTGGCCGTGCCCACAGTTCGTCGTGGTTTCCTCGGCCATTTCGCGGCGTGTTGGGGCGCCGTGGATGGACCTGGACCGCACTTCGTCTTCTCAACTCGAAGTAAGTCCGTCGGGAAGAATTGCTATAGCTGCCCTTGATGGGATGAGACATTTCAGGCGCCTGATTGAAAGGGTGCAAGCAAGTTTGCATCACTAGAGTACCTGTCTGAGACTGTTGATAGCCGGTCAGAGTTGCAAGTCTTGATTAGGTTTTGGCTGATGTGAAAGCCACACAAAGCAAGGGAAATATAGCCTTGCCGATATCAGGACGGCCGTGGATGGGGAGTATTGGAGCGCTAAAGAGATCATATGATTTCTCCAAGAAGTTTACCAGTCGACAAAAAGGTGTTCATATATCCTTCCACTTAGAAACGGCGTCCTTGACAGTCCCCCAAACATCAATGGATAGTAAGACTTAAGCCTGGATGTAGTATCATATGTCTTCATCCCTAATGCTTAATGTTGGCATACGAGGAGGTAGGTGTGTTAAGGGATAGTAAGGATCTCGCACAGGATTGTGACAACCACGGTATCTCCTATAAGAGATATATGATGACCTCAAACCCACCCGTATCAACAAATCAACGACTCTGCGAGCTACATGTCTTTCGCCCATTGGAGCAGGGCTTTGTTGTCTTGGGTTCCGACCGACATATGAGAACACATCGTTCATTCTCAGGTGCCCAGCTCAAGAAGCAGACGATGGGCAAGTGTGATCGGGCTGTGCAGATCTCAGCATGACAAAGATAAGACCGACATGATGGCCGGCCATGGTCCTGTAGTAATGAAGTCCTGAATTCACAGACTTTGGGACCAACCCTGCGTCTGCTCACGCTTAAGAGACGGATTTGCGCAAGCTTATATCTCTCCTCTCGTTAGCAGATGTTACGCACATCGCGAGCAAGTCGAGAGGACATAAAGATGGAAACCAGTCGCATCTACAGCGAGGATGTATGGAGAGTTGTATTGAAGACAAATTCCAATCGCTGCCCTCTCAGGATCAAGCCAGGGCCACGTCAACGACGCCAGAAGCTATCTACCTCCGTGATGCAATCTCCCACAGGGTGAGATCGATTGCGTTGGCAACGGATAATTCATTAAATGTCAGCAAGCACGCACGATTTTCTATACCATTTGCCCGGCTGAACAAACTTCGTCAGAAGAAGTAGGCGATCGTCAGGCTGGATCGTGATCAATGATAAGCCGGAAACGTCAAAGGCAAACTGACCGTCATAGAAACCCAGAATGCTGTCGTCAACAATAAATCACCCCAAAAATCGTCACACGTATCAACGGCCCGTTATCTCACGAGATCGATATCAAATCGACCCCCGAAAGGCCGAAAACCCCGAAAGCTTAGAAAGCCACCTTTGCCGACATGCAAAGCCCATCAAGACCAGTCACCCGACGAAGGACCACCACTGTTCATTCATCTGATTCCCCACGGATCGATCGCCAGGGGCACCGGCCGTTCAAGAAGGTGACATATTCATGATGCACACACCACCGACGATGATCTCAACGGCCTTTTTGGGGTCCAGAACTTCATCCAACGGGCCAACCCACCAAAGCGTGGGATTCGATGCTCTCACTCCCCTCTGGGTCTCATGGGTCTCCCTTTGCAGGAAACTGGGTCTGCCGCGAGTCGATCGACACCGTCTTGCCTACATGGACGGCATGGAGCCTCGAAACACGCCTACCTCCACAAAAAAGTGAGCCTGCCTGCCCTGCCTGGGGTTTCTCTATCTCTTTGGAAAAAGGGTCTCTCGAGGTCCCGATTTTTGGATGCGGAGGTGGAGTTCAGGCACTTGGGTTTTTTGAAGCGAAGCAGCGGTGGCCGTTGATTGTCAGCAACGACAAAGACACCGCTCTGTGATCTGTTCTCCACGAAGCCGCGTTTTCGCCCACTTGACACCGGTGCACACAAATGGAGCATCCCTCAACCGTCTCCGCGAATTCGCATTGCAGATAAGTTCTTCACGGATACAGTCCATCAAAATCCACTTGGTTCACAGATCCATTGGCTGATCTGGGGATCTAGCCCCGGCGCCGGCCGCTGTGGAGAGGAGTTTGCTTCGCCAAACATTGATACTTGACTCGAACGTCTCAAGAACGTGCCTCGTATCTCTGATCTGATTGACGATGGCGCCGCCTGTGTAGATGCCCGTTCGGTGCACTTCGGAATGGGCTCAAGCTGGGTAGCCTCTCTACTGGCTCAGTCGGTGCTCGGTGGAAAAGGTCGCGTCCGCTACCGCAATGCAATGCCATTTGGCTGGATCCAGCCGCTTCCGTTGGGTCTCTGAGTGATCGACAGCGAAAAACGCCCGCTCGCCAAACAACCACCAGTGCCACGGACACGAGGGCGCAAACAATCAGTAGCCACAGAAACTGAGATGCAGGTGGAAGCAGCCAGCTCATCATCACCTTCGGGATTGCATGCGCAATTCCCATCCAATTGTCGCTCTGGAGTCAAATCCCGGACAACCTTTCTCCGGTATGCTGGCCGCACGCTGTCGAGCCTGCGGTAGCCGTCGACCGCCAGCCGCACGCATCAATCGCCAAGGGACAGCATTGTGCCGCGTACCCGACGCCGACGGCCGTCCTTCGTGCCGGTGGTGTTGCCCTCCGCCATGCGGGATTACGAAAGCCAAGTTGCCGCCGAGAGGTCGGTGGCAGAGGAGAAGGAGAGGCGCCATCGGCGCGGCCAATCCTTCATGTCGCCGCCGGAGTACTTTCTTCACCAAGGGAAGTAAGTCCCTTACTTAGTAGGTTTTTGAGCTGAGGTGAGAATGGAGAAGCTGAGCTGCCAAACCGGGCTCGCATCACGGTGTAATCGTCGATCAGAGTAGCTAGCAGCTGGGAGACGGTCGACCTCGGTTCGGCACAGAACTGTTTCGTGTTCAAGGCCAAATGGCCGAGTGAGTTTGTGTGTTCGACCATTTTGTCAACATGTGTGTGCGTGTGTGCTCGTGCTGGCCGTGACTTGATCAACAAGTCAGGAGCGTGACCTTCCTTCACTTTGTTAGTCGGAGAAAATCGGCCCCACTTGAAATAGCGGCACGGCCTGCACCGGACGGTCCATGGACCTCTCTTTTTCGTCCTCGTGCATGCGAAACCCCATGGAGAAACTGTATGTGTATGTTGCCAAAAGGGGCGAACGAATGCAACATTTGACACACCTTTTCCCAGCTGCCCACGGGGTAGCAACGGGGTGCCTCTGGAGCAATTTAAGGGGAACCTGGTGGTAAGCAGTCAGCGGGAAGGATAGCCTTCCATCGGGGGAATGGTGTCGGGAGTGAGGCCTCCAACGCAAGTGTGCAAAATATAGTGAGCGATTTGCAGCTTGTAATGTCGCTGCCGGATAATGTACCGCTGCCCGAACAAGAGGCATTTATGTTATCGGGCCGTCCTAAGCGGCGACTGCGCGTGTTATTTCCATTCAAGCACACAAGTTCGAAGGCAGCATCGCATGAAATCGTGGCAAAACAGGCAGCCGATAGCCTCTCGGCGAGGCGGGCGAGGCGGGCGAGGAGTCCTCCAGCGTTCTGAACCTGTCAACAAGTCGATGGCAGTGGAGAAATCTGCACCTCAAAAGTCCGCCTCGGGGAACTTCTTAGATGAGTCTCGCATCGGAACTGACAGTGCCAGCGACAAAATCCAGCATCTAGAGGGGATGCTGGTGAAATTGCCATGGGCAATGATAAGAAAATGCATGTGCTAAACCAACAGACATGGAGCATCCACCATGACCGCGGCAAACGCGTATCCCACACCAGTCCCAGCTCGGAGGTCGCTTGACCAGCGAGGTTTCTCCTAGTCAGGTCCTCATATGAAATCCACCATCCATAACGACACTCTGTTGATCCATCACCATCTTGAGGAACATCTGGGGTTACCCGCTAGCGGTTGTCAACGACTCAAGCAGATGCTTTGACCACCGTTTATCATGTGGGATAGACGCGATTGAATGAGGAAGGGTAAGCGTAACAACGGCCGACATATTCAATAAAGGCAGTATCTCCTGAATATCTCTCATGGACGTGATCATCGATACCTGATGCTCGGAGATTGTGGCAGCCGTGAGGCAGATTAGCCGCGAGGAAACCAATCGGTCTTTGAAACCGGAACGCAAGTTCGTGAGTTGTTGCGGTGAACGATGTCAGGCTTTAGACGGGACCGGGCATACCGCTCCGCAGCTTTCAGACTCACGATAGCTTGATGTGCTGTTTGTTGCCAATGACGTGCTACCTGGACGAAGGCTGTTTGGTCATATCGTGAGGCCCCATCTGCCGTAGCCGAATTGCGTCGAGGAATGACGGGTCCATTCAGTT